ATTTGGGCTGGTGGTGATGAGAGGCTGCAAGTGGGACCCGTCTGATCCTTACGGCAATTCAGGAAGGCTGATGCTGACGTGGCAGAACTGGTCCTGCAAAAGCCCCTGGGTCCCAGCACACGAAATGGGTGAGAAAAGCATTTTTACAAGCAAGCAAGGTAACCCTGCAGCTGTGATGCCACCCCATCTCAAGCCTGGGGTTCACCTCTGTCCTCTCTGGGTGCATCTGCACTGCAAAAATCGTCTGCTCCGAACTCAGACTGGGTTGTGACTCGCTTCTTGAGTTGTAAAGACGCGTTTCATCATCTCAGCGTGGAAAGCGGCTGCTGCCAGCTCTCTGTCAGAGGTGAGGCCGGCCAGGGCGGGCTGGGAGGCGATGCAGCACGGCACAGGAGCTGCAGGTTGTTAAACAATTACACCCGCTGGAGCCTGAATTTCATCTCATTTTTTGGAGCTACAGCATGACACAAAAGGCTGAGTGGAAGGAAGGAAGGAAAGGCCAGAGGGGAAAGGTATTTCAGACAACAGTCCTCTTCCCAGTGACTGTCTGGCCACAACTCCATCTATTTTGGTGCGAGCATGGAATGCAAAGCCCGGACCTGCCGCCTGGAAACTCGACCGAACGAGTCTCCTGCAGCCTGTGGAGTTTGCTTGTTATCCGGGCGAACACCACCTTTCATCCCTCGTCATCCCCCTCCCCAGCCTGCCTTGGCCCCGGGATGGGAGCAAACCCATGCTCACCCGGGATGCCCTGGAAAAGGCTCCCCTGGCTGCGAGAGCAGCTTCTCCTCTTCTGGCATCCTCCCGGGGGAAAAGGGCAATCAAACCCTCCTGATGACAGGTACTCCATGCAGGAGCCCCGTGAACGCGTTGCCACGGCTGAGCTCCTGGAGAAGCTGAACGGTGCTGAGTAGGATCCCAAGGAGGGGAGGTGGCTCCAGCCAGACACGCGGTGGTCCCGGGCACAAACCCACACGCCTTTCCCTGGAGAAAATCTGAACTTCTGATGGCCCAAGAGTCACCTCAGAACCGCCCCTGCAGTGATTGCACCATCTCACCTGCAGCTCCTGCCTGGGAAGCAGCAAATATTCCTTGAAATCAAGTAATTAGGGCCAGTCACAAAAGCAAGGAAAAGTTTTATCGACTTTATCGTGACAGTGCGGTGTCAAGCTATTGATCTGGGCTTGCGCTGAGCAAGGGCAAGTTGTGTATCATCCTGCGTGGGGGAAACCAAGCTCTCCCTGCTGCTTCGCTGCTGCTTTGGCGTAGGACTGGCCCAACTCTTCCGGCCCCTTAGCCTAGTTCACTGTTAAACTTGTGAAGCTGTTGGCCGAGAAGCTGTCAGTGCCGTTTCGCAGGGAATAACCCATTTCTGCATCCTCAGCTTTTCTGATTTCCTCTTTCGAACAGCTGAGTGCTATTGATAAGGGAAGACCGAGGTCCCCGTGGCGGGTATTTGGGGATGCCAGTGGCTCTGGGCTTGCAGGCAGCCCGTGGGAGCTGGGCAGCCGTGCCCTGTGGTCTCTGCCTGGGAGAGGGGAGCAGGCAGGACCCAGCGCACGCCTGGGCAGGATGCTCTGCCTGGGGAGATGAGCCCCGAATCCCACCCTGCACTCAAAGCCGAGCCGCTTTGAGCAAAGCTTGCACTTAAAAGAAGGTATTTAAACACAAGGAATCAATTGCATTAAGTGCAAATTCATCTGTTGATGCTGCTGTCCACAGGCAGAGCGGCCATTTACCGTGGCGCGTGATGCTGTGGGGATCAGCGGCTCTGCACTCATTAACGCTCTGGGCCACTAACGATGCCCAGAAGTGGCTGGAAACAAAGACAACTGAAGTCTGATGGATTAATGCTGCCTCCCACCAATGCAGCCCGGGATCCATCAATTACCTATCTGCTTAGTCCTTTTCTCCATCCCTTTACAATCTAAATAGCACATTTTATAGTCGCTGCTAAGTGATGTGATCAACATCAATTACCTACTAAAAGAGAATCAAGTCTTGATTTAAAATTAAGTGCTGCATTTTGCCATGTTCTTTATATGTAGCCAACAGAATAATTGCAGTGACATAAAAACTAATTACACAACTCCACAATTAGGCCTCCCTCCTAGTGCTGTGATTGTCTTTAAGTACATTGATGAAAAATTACTCCCAGCCCTAAATTACTCTCTCACACCCATCTTCTCCAATACCTTTGGAAAAAACCCTCCACCCCATCAGATCAAACAGAAGAACTCAAAATGCAAAATATAATACATGCAGAGCGTGTTTTCTAATCTCTTTGATGTGCGAGCAGTTTCAGACGGCGGGATTAGGCTGGTATCGCCCGAGGATGCAGCAGCGCTCCTCTCTGCGACGACGGACCAAGCATTTCAGAGAGACTTCCCAAACCGCCTGGGGCTGTCGTGGGGCTGGGAGGCCGG